TGGGTGACACCACCATGGGTGGTGTTCCTGACTGCAGGATATCCAAGTTTGTGCTCTGAATCCTTAACCTATTTGAGTGCAATTTGAAGAGCGTCAGCTACCATCTTTATGAGGTCTTGAAATTTCAAAAAAAAATTGGTAATGAAAGACGGCAGAGGCATAATAGCCTTGTCTGGAGCAGAAGATGAAACAGGTGTTTGAGGGGTGGCCTCTGAATCCACCTTGGCCTCCTGCTCCTCAAATGTCTCCTCCTGTCATGGAGCCTGGTTGGGGAGGAGAGTACTGTATGACTCTAGCCTCCCTATGACACACTACCAGTGGTCTGGCAAATTGCTGCTGATAAGCAGCCCCGCGATCCCATTCAGGGGCCCATGTTGGGGTGGCATGCAGCGTTGGTTCTGCCACCCTTGCTGACAAGCACCATCTTCCCTGTGATTTTCAAAGAATGGGTTCCTGAAATGTGAGGTTGGAAACCCCTGCACAGAAATAGAAGAGACTGACCGTACGTTTCCTTTATCCTATATCATCCAATGGAATATTGTCCAATGGAAGAGCAACTGCAGAAAAGGGTGAAGAGTCCTGAAGTACCAGAGGACAGTGGCTGTCTGGAGATAAGGGTCTCGGTACCAAGAGCCAGTCATTACCCACGAGGAGTGGGGACTCCGGGTTTGTCTATTGCAGATAGATCCTTAGTGTATCTGAACTCTTCTGGTTCCAAGTACAGGACTGGTACTGATGCAGTAGCCAAGGATGCAGTAGCTGAAGCTGATGGTACCATTGATGGGGGGGGAGGGAGGTGCACTGATGGTATCTGGTGCCATTGCTTGCTCGGTACTGAGGGTGCCAAATGAGTAGGCACCAATGGCAGGGCTGAGCCCAATAGTTCCAATCCATCATGTTTATACTTGCCCTCCTTGTCCTTGGCAGAGAGTTCTGCTGCCCTGTCGGAGCCATGTCTCTCCTTTGAGTTCTGGGACTTTCTGGTCCTGCTGGTACTGGATGAGGAGTCCCATGACTCAATAGTACCAAGCTCAGAGGTCAAGGCTTCAAAGACCATTGATCTTGGACTTGGGTTTGTTCAGAGCCGGCTCCATAGATGAGAGTCTGCACCCCTCTTTTTGGAAGTCTTCCCTGAAGCCTCCAAAGTCTTTCCTTTCTTAGGGAAAGCCTCCACCGAGGTTGAAGGGGAGCTGGATCTATCTGGAGACAGAGGTACAGGAGGGAGTCTCCTGACCTGACTCAGAAGTTGGTTGAAGGGAGCATTCCATCATGAAGAATCAGAGTTTAATCTCCCTATTCTTCCTTGCTTGGGATTTGAGGGCCAGGCAGAAGTTGCACTTCTGGGAGATGTGAGACTCCCCCCAACAATGGACACGCTTAGGGCTGGTCTACACTAAAGCTGTAAATCGACCTAAGTTACGCTACTTCAGTTACGTAACTGAAGTCGACATAACTTAGATCAATTTACAGAGGTGTCTACACTGTGCTACTTGACAGGAGACACTCTCCCTCTAACTTACCTTCCGCCTCTTGGGAAGGTGGAGTACAGACATCGAGGGGAGAGCACTCTGCCATCGATTTAGCTTGTCTTCACCAGACCCACTAAATCAACACCACTGCATGAATCACAGCAGTGCCAATTTAGCCAAAAGTATAGACAAGCCCCAAGAGTGGCTGTTGTTCATAGGTGTAGCCCCTCAACAAGAGAGGCAGCATTTAAAACGTGGTGAGCCAGGCACCCCCTGCCAGGAGAATAAGGCTTCCCAAGGGAAGGAGCGGAACAAAACAATCCTCTCACTACTTATCTTTAACTGACTATAACTATCACTAACAACTACATATATTAACTAATCCTAAACAAACTACTACTACTCTAATCATCAGAGGAGTGAAGTTCTGGAACAGCCTTCCAAGGGGAGCAGTGGGGGCAAAAGACATATCTGGCTTCAAGACTTGATAAGTTTATGGAGGGGATGGTATGATAGGATAGCCTAATTTTGGCAATTAATTGGTCTTTGACTATTAGTGGTAAATATGCCCAATGGCCTGTGATGGCATGTTAGATGGGGTGGGATCTGAGTTACTACAGAGAATTCTTTCCTGGGTGTCTGGCTGGTGAGTCTTGCCCACATGCTCAGGGTTTAGCTGATCGCCATATTTGGGGTCGGGAAGGAATTTTCCTCCAGGGCAGATTGGCAGAGGCCCTGGGGGGTTTTCGCCTTCCTCTGCAGTGTGGGGCACAGGTCACTTGCTGGAAGATTCTCTGCACCTTGAAGTCTTTAAACCATAATTTGAGGACTTCAGTGGCTCAGACACAGGTTTGATACAGGAGTGGGTGGGTGAGATTCTGTGGCTTGCGTTGTGCAGGAGGTCAGACTAGATGATTAATAATGGTCCCTTCTGACCTTAAAGTCTATGATTCTAAAAACTGAATACCAGATAGTCGAGACATGCTCAAAGCAAACACACGAAGACTCTGCCTCAGAAGGAGAAAGAACTCAGGGCAGTTTGCCCCCTCATCCTTATATAGTCTATTGTTGTGTCGCACAAGGAAGCACAGGGAACATGTGCGGCTGAAGGAACACTGCTAATGGAAAAGCTTGGCTCAAGGGCTCAAGAGGCACATATGCACCTGAAATGGACACCCACAGAGACACTACTTGAAGGAGAATGTTTATTCCTTCTATTTGTAGCAAAACTCTTGTCTTATGAAAAGAAAACCCAAGTTCTAACAGAATTGAGCCTTTAACAATGTAAAAGAGCTTTGTTTTTAATATCTTATAAAGATAGATTATTATTCATTTGTATTATGGAACCAGCCAGGTTAGGCCCCATTGTGCTAGCATTGTATAATATTATTATAAGAGACAGTGCCTTTACTGAAGACCTTAAAATCTTAATAGGCAAGACAGACAAAGGGTGGGAGAAAGTAGGTATTATCCCCATGTTACAGGTGGGGAACCAAAGCACAGAGCAATTAAATTACATGTCTAAAGTCACACAGGAAGTTAGTGGATGAATAGGGAATTGAACCCTGGTCTTTTAATTCCCAATGAGTAGCCTTCCTATGGGAATAGCCTTCCTATGGGAATACCCTTCCTCTCAACCCTCTCTGTGAATAAACCATTTATTCATGCAAATAAAAATTAAACTAATGAATGTCTCCATTTTAATCATGACACCCTGTACAAGAACTTTCCACTTGCATCTTGTTAATTTCACATCTAGAACATCTGATGTGTAGAAGCCCTAAACTGAAAAAAAGACTGATTAAATGTGTTCTGTCCCATTATATTTATTTCATCCACTAACAGCAGGCGCATACTGTAGCAGCATTTCTTTTACTCTTTATATAGCATTCAGCCAGAGTAAATTCATATTGCAAGTGAATAATGATGTACCTCGCTCATTTTAAATTTCAATAATTGAATGAGAAACAGGGAGACCTATTGAAAGGACTGTCTGCTGGTCAAAGACTAATGAGATTTTTTTTTTTTTTTAATCTGAGTCATCGGTGTCATGGTAACAATGCATTATCAAAATCTGATTAGTATGCCCAGCAGCCTTATAAGTGATAGCATGTTCTTCTAATTGTATTTTCTGTTCTCAGAGAGGAGTTTTATGGTCATAAGAGGTGAGAGGATGGCAGTGTTCTGCTGTTTATCTGTAAGTTTGATATGGAATGTACTGCAGGCTCCTATGTTCAATACAACCTGAGCTGCCATTCATTGAAGAAAAAAAAAAGTCTTCTGTGGTATTTAGGGAAATGGAAGACCCAACTTCCCATTCTTCCTCCCTTCCCTTGCCGTCCCCCACCCATTTTATTATTTTTGCCTCCTAGTTTTGAATTCACTCAAATATCAGAGTGATGCCCCTTTGATACATAGTACTGCTTCTAAGTATTAGAAGGGTATTCTGAAGCAAAAGCACCATCTTTAGGGTCCGAACCTGCATTACTTGTGCACCTGAAACTCCCAGTTAAGGCAAGGGGAATTTTGGGTACATAAGGAAATGCAGGATCAAGTCTGCAACATTCCATCTTACTCAATAATATTCCATTTCCGGAAAGCACATAAGCACACATGTAAGTCCCACTGAAGAAAATGGTGCAAGCTGAAAATTAAGCACATACTTAAGTTCTCTCGCAAATGAACATATGAGAAGCCAACAGAAGCTTTGAAATTGAAAAGATTTTTTTTTAACATTACTTCTGAAGAATAGCATAGATAGTGCCTCACCATGAAAAAAAATGCAGATTTGGAGGCTTAATAAGGCTTTAAGTTAAAATTTGGGCTGCGGAGTCAAGCAGATATTCACTACGTTAAAATACAAAGAGCTCTAACTACAACTGCAAGCCATGGTTTACAACATAAATCTGATGCAAAATCATTTTACTGTATACATCTCCAATCTCAGGAGATGAAAAGCTAAGTTTTCGAGTGAACAATTAAATTACATTTTTCTACAGAATAACCATTAACTCTAAATTATTTTTGGACTATTTCAGTAGCTTATGACTGTTTCCTGTTCTGAACATTACCTTTTGTCTGCAAAATCATTTGACCTTCTATAAAGAGGTTGGGGGGAAGCCCACACACCTATTCCTTAGGGAAATTTAAATATTTTAAATAAGATCCACAAAAATGATGAATACAAGGAAGTCAACTGTCCTATACAACTAAAGAACACGCAATGTTTGTCACGGTGCAGGGACACACAGAGAATGAACACAGCTAGACTTAAAAAGCTCAGTACTGTTTGTTTGATGCAATGACATGTGCACCAAGTTTGGGATGTACAAAATATCCAAAGCAATCAATCTTAAGTCAACACAGTGAAAGCCAAAGGAACGTTTATCTACATGTTTGGAAATTCAGCAGAGAGCACAGGGTTACACAGAGAATAGAAAGTCATCAAAGCAGGCCACCGAGGGACGAAAAGGCAAACAAGCACTTCCCCAGAAGGGATTAGCGCTGGTTGAGGGTACTGTTTGTACTAACCTTGGATGGAAGCAGCAGCCAGAAAGCCAATCAGTGTGGCCTTCGCCTGTCATAATGATGTTCCCATTAGGAAAGGCCCACATCTTCCAGAGGCGGTCATCACTTGCAGTTACCACAATGTCTTTCCGAGGATGCAAAGCCAAACTACAGAAGAAAAGAAAGACATATAAGACTCTGACTCAATTTAATCTTATTATATGAAATCTAAAGCAACATGATTTGATTTTAGCAATAACAAGGTCTACATTATTATGCTTTTGGATGGTGTGTGTAATATTTATGCTCCCAAAGGATACAAATCCTTTACCTATTACAGGCCTGATCCTGTTTCTATTGAAGTAAATAGAAACTCTATTTACTCCCATTGACTTCAGTGGAACCAATACCGGGCTCAAACTCTTAAGGCCCCTATTCAGTAAGGCACCTAAACACATGGTTAAGTGCTTTCCTGAATTGATCCCCTAAATGAGTGCAATAAATAATTTAAAAATATAAATTATGAACCAACAAAAGCAATGTGAACCACTAACACTGTTCCAGAAATAATATCCTCCTGAAACATTAGCCTGTTGGGCCTTCTCAAGAGAGATGGGTTATAGGAGATCAGACTCTGTGCTAGTCTATTGTGTCCATGAGCTTACGATCTCCTCAGCACACGGACATTACTGAAATCTGAATTGCACCACAGTAGCTCTGGTTTATTGTTAATACTTCAGCCACTACTAGGCTAAGTTCAGTAAATCCATTTCAATTCTACTCTCTGGCTGTTCCACAGATTTTCCTTTTGTGTAATGAAGTAATGAGAACACACTGGCTAAGACATTATGCATCTATTATAACCCTTAACTGAAAAGTCATACCAACACCATCTATTTTTGGTTTGGCCATTGTGAACCTACAAAAGAAAATGTGAACCTGTGACAATGAACATTACCAAATTCTTTTTATTTTGGCTTAACTATTTGACTTAAATCGGTATAGTGATTTATTATTTACTGAGCATCAACACTGTGCTTGGTCCTATGTCCAAGAAGGACATAGACTCATGGAGCAAATGGCTTAAATAGACCAACAATACAGTTCAAAATCAAAATGCAATGAGGGATGAGAAACTATTTTTTTAGACAGATGAGAGAGATAACATAAGCACCTCAACATTAGAGTTGATCTAATGGTAGGTTGCACAGAAGAAGTGTTTTAAGGTGGGATCAGAATGGAGAGAACGGATACCTAGCAGCCAAGTAGAAGAGAGTTCGACTCATAAGAAGTATATGAATGTCACGCCAGAAAAATCTCGTTTCTATAGCCTGTTTCTTCTACACATAAATAATCTATCAATAATTATTCCACAGACCAGCATTCCTTCCTCTGGTAGGCTAAGGATCTAACACTTCTTCAAATCTATCCTAAAAACTCACTTATTCCAGTTAGCTTTCCATCAAGAAATACCCACATATGCTCTCCTATCTCAAAGCACCAACTCAATGTACAGAAATATCTTCAGTTTCCAGGGATTTAACAATTAGACACTCATTTGGACAACGATTTTGAATCAAAGAAGGAAGAGATCTTGGCGCTCTTGGGCAAAGAGGAGGATTTTGCCCTCCCATTTACTGGGGGAGGAGAAAGAGGAAATGATATTATTCACATCCTTACAGTGATGAATACAGAATAATTACATAAATTAGACTGGTCAGAATTTAGTCTGCAGCTGAGGAGGGAGTAGAAGGAAATGTCACAAGAAAAGAAAGATCCCCAGCCTATTACAAGGCAAAGGAGAGGCGTAATTGGTATGGTCAACTTGCCTCAACCCAGAATTCTCATTGATATAGGACTCCACCAGACCACAGGAAAATCGGTGTCTGAGGCCTTGCTAGGGAAGTAGTATTATTGCCAAGGTGGGGGTGAGGCAACCAGCAAGGAGGCCCAGGGCTACAAAGGACGGTTCAGAATAACAGCAGCCATAAAGGGGAGTCCATGGAGGTCCAGAGGAGCCCAGCAGGGCTTACAGACAGACTTCACCTCACCCTCAGAAGATATCATGGCAGGCTGGGTTAAATTGGAGCTTCCCAACTGGCAAACACATGTGGGCAAAGCCACTGGCAGCATGGCAGGCAGGAGCAGAGCCAGTGCACATGTGATGATGGAGCAGACCTAGGAACAGTTTTCACCAGGCTGCCACTGAGATTCCTCTGGTGTAAGATGGAGGAGGAGAATGGTAGGAAAGAGGAAGAAACAGAAGTAGGTTCCCAGTAAGGCCTGTAGAAATGAGGTCTGCTCAAAGGCAGGGAGTTCCTGCAGTGAAGCAGCTGTACAGCTCTAGTGCACGAAGCATTTTTTTAGGCAGCACTAGTACCTGCCTACAATGGGAAAACTGAAAGCCTGAGGTTTTCTGCTTGGTTAATCTCATTGTTGGGAACAGCTGGATTTCTCTGCTGTTTACAAATTACAAAAATATCATTGAATACCTCTTGAAATCTTGATGTCAACCTAAACCCAATACTTTATCTTCTGACTCCCTCTCTCATCTCTAAGTTTGTCTGTTCTGCCTTTCACAGTACTTCCATAAGTACTTAACTGGGTGTCTACAGTGATCAACAGGTTCTGACCTCAGCTATCAATCCCTTTTGTAAGTCTTCCTACATTCTGAGACCTGCTAAACAATCTCATTCACATCACCTTCACTTCTTATGTTCAATTCAAGATTGCTCTGATGGTTTACTCTGGATTCATATCCACCTCCTCATTCCACTCTTCCAACCTGGCTGCTGCTTCATGGCTTCCTTACAACTGTCCACAGCTGGAAGTTGCTCATTTGCTCATCCAGCCCCATCTGTTTGGAACATTTTCTTCCCTGCCCTCCAAGGCACCACAACACTTCCCTCTCTTCAAAGCCAGCCTTTAAACCTTCTTTTCCTCTTAGCAGTTCTAAAGCGTTTTGTGATGCTGTTTGTTAAAAATGCTCTGTAAAAATAAAGTGTATTATATATCAGAGGAAAAAAACTCTTGCAATGGGAATGGAACTCACACTGTACATTTTATAGACTTTTCTTTTTAATTGCAGAGCTCCTGTAAAATGATGCTGCAACCCAAGTGTGTATTTTTTTTCCTTTCCCCCAATGGAATTGTACAGGCATAAAGCTAACACCATTTAATTAACAGCAGGCTGGGTGACATCACCACCACTGAGCTGCTTCTCAAAATGGGAAGCACATTCATCCAAAAAACGAGTGCCATACACCACATTAATTAGGTGCCCTTGTCTTCATTTTTGGCAACCTGGCATTGAATTGATTCTTGCTTCATCTTTGTACACAGGGTCTAATTATTTCCAGCACAGAATACTCTGGGTAGATTGGGGTGAAAAATCAATAACAGGACGTGTGTTATATGAACATTTGTTTCCTCCTCCTCCTCTTTTTGTGTGTAAGTGTGTGTGTGGTGGGAGGAAGGGACTTAGCCAGCAATAGGAGAACTCTCAGACATTTGCTACTGTCAAGTTGTGGAAACAGGTATATTTATATACCCATTTCAACAGCAGAAATCATTTAAATTTCTTCATCACTTGCAGTGGCAGATATGTAGTGCTTGCAGTAATTTGCTTTAAAAACATTAATGTATTATATTAATGTATCTTGACTGAACAGTAAACAAACATACAGCATCTTAAGGTGCAGGCAAAAGGTAATTTCAATATAAAATACATACTACATGAAAAGCTTAAAATAACATTTTTAAGGTTGTGATGTCAAGCACTCAACAGTTAGGAAATGCCAGAATTAAGGTTGCCTGTGCAACCTTAATTTGGCCCCTTTTGTGCATATTCTGGTAACAAACTATTATATCCACAGAACCCTGGCCTCATTCAGTGCACAGGATGGACGGAGGTGAGTGAACAGATAGTTAATGTTGCAAAAATATGAATTTATCTTCACAATATCTCTCTGAAGCATATTTTGTCCCCATTACACAGAAGAAACTGAGGCACAGAAGGATTAAAGACAAAAGTTGCTTATTAATTTTTTGTGTCTTTATTGAGACACCTACGGCTGATTTTTCAGAGGACTTACATTTTTATAGGACTTTATGTGTTCAAATCACAGCTCCCACTGAGGATCAGCACTTCTTCAAATCTGGGCCCAGGTGCCTCAAGTTGGGCACTCAGAAAACAAGGAATACAAAATTAGTGGCCAATTATGAAAAGTTTGGTTTAAGTGACTTGCCCAGCACCACATAAGAACCCTGTTGCAAAGGTAGGAATAAAATCCAATTCTCCAGGATGACATTCAACTGCATTAGCCATGAGACCATCCTCTGTCTTCCTAAAATCCCCTGCCTCACTCACTATGCACCACCAATTTCTGCAACAAATGAGGCAGGAATCCCTACAGAGAACAGCCTCATTTACGACACAAAACTGATTCATCCCCAGATCCAGTCCAGCCTGTGTACTGAACGAGGCAGGGCTTCTGTGGGAAAATAGTTTGTGATTATGTAATTTAAGAATGTATCACAATGCACACACAAAGGGGCTGAATTAAGGTTGCATGGGCAAGCTTAATACTGGCATTTCCTAACATTTGAGTGTTTGGCTACATTTTAAATGTAGGTTTCTTGGGATGCTATTTCCTAAGATTTTTACAAATAAACTGAAGTCAGAAAGTCCATCATGTGGGGCCACATTGTGTTCCCATATGGGACATCAGTAGGATGTTGCTAGGCAACATTAGCTTCACCTAACACCTCCACCTATGATAAGAAGATTATACTAGGAAATTAGTACTTCAGATTGGCAACTGGATTCTGGAAAGTTTGTGCTACCAAATGAAGAAATATGCTAACTATATTTTCCTGAAAAATATTTGCCACATATTAGTCAAACTATAGTAAGTCCTTTAATTATAAGCCCTTCTAAACATCTCGCTCAGCAAAACAAATCACCCTGTTTATTTGTGATGGTAACTAAGCCTTCTTTGAAATTATCTGATTAAACCCCTGGAATTTGTTGGGGGCCTTTATGGCTACATTTTATACTTGCTATGAATTTCTAGAGGATGGCCAGAAGACAAAGTCAGTAAGGACCAAAACCAGTAAAAAGATTAAGTACAGTGTATTCTTAAGTACTAGGAACACTGGCAGTCCTG